TTAATATGCGTTGAATGCAAATTTCAATAAATTGTCTGTGCTCATCAGTTAAAATATTAGCAAGTAAAAACTTGACCCCTCAAAACTTCCAAGGAAGTAACTTATTTAATTTTTTTGATCCCGTCAGGCAATATTAACTCAGATTGTGAACAGCTCAGTGATTAGCATATTCAAAGCTAAAACTTTCCAAAAAAATCAAATTGCTGACAAAAAATACAAGCGTGCTATCTTCATTCTTTATGTGTCCAGACTTATTGTAATACGGCAGTGATGGAATAGTGATGTGAATATTTTCACAAAAGAAAGTATACACACACTCAAATGAAGTGCACGCCTGTATTTTCATTTCCAATTCTATTTTTGAGGAAAGTTTATGAAAGCATTATTTTAAATGTGGGCACTGATGAGATGGACTTCCTGTCGTATCAAATGCATGTAAAAATAACAACTGCTGAGTTTTTTTCACAACATAAAGTATTTGAAGAGAAATGCTCAATGCATGTTGATCAAAGCTTGCTGTTGATTTGGCTCCAATAATGGCGACCACTGTACATAGGATTCATAAAATTCCAAAAGTGAGATTCAATTAGTATGGACTAGATAAACTGAATTCATGKTTTTTTTTTCTGTCAATAATTTTGATCCATCTTCAAAGATTATGAGGTATGCATATATGACTACATTACATTACATTACAGTGTATAATTAATACAAGTACAGCATGCACAGCTGGACATTAAACAGCAGGTACATGACGTGTACTTGTGGGAGGCAGCAATCAGGCAATCATTGTCCACAATTATTCTCTTTGTCCATCTCCGTTTCTTCTTGCATTGAGTTACAGTAGTTAAATTCTTGGCTCCAAAAAAAAAAAGAAAAAAAAAAAAAAGCCTGAAGATTCTCATATTTTTCTCAGTCTGTCATAGGCCTTGTGTTCTCTTTTTCTATTCGAGAGAGCTCTACCTGTCTTTGTCTATTAGTTGTTGCAGTCCTTGGATCATGGTATATGGTAAACAATGCCTTATTTCTTTTCAAAGGGGACAGGATCTTTTTGGTTTTACAGCAGTTTTGATTTACATGTACTATGTTATGCAGTGACGAATTCTTTAGTATTCTTTCTGAGACAACTTTAACGTATGGCTATTAGCATCATAAAATCAGCATGCTGTACTAAAATTGCATTTTCGTCATGTATTTAGTTTTTAAATGCTAAAACCATATAACCTCAAAGTTTCTGATGATGGATCAATTTAAATCTAAAGCCTTGGATAATAGACTACTTTTATCTAGTATGTAGATGAATCTCTTGTTTTTCATCATGGAAGTCATTGGCCAGCCTGTTGAGGGCAGTAAATTTAAGGAAAACTCCTCACTCCTGTAAAATGTTTTTCATAGAATGTGCGCTGAGTTGTCTCATCCTAGTGCATGATTTTTGTCAAGAATTTTTGTTATATGAGATGAAATGTTTGACAGCTGGTGTGAAATCAATGCATGTATATTGCAACTATCTATTAATTGATTATTGTTGAAGTGAGGCCCACAAAAGCCTAATATGGCGTTTGCAAATTAGACTAATTTTTGAGATGGTAATCTATTAATCAAATCAATGAAGGAAATGAGGATGAATGTTAGTAACTTAACCATAACATATCGACCACTTCAACAAAAGGGAAATTATAAATGTACAGTAAATATACGTAGTTCAAATGAATGAGCTTTTAAATCATTTCATTAAAGTCTCTCATTATTTTTATCTACATATTGTATGATGTCACATTAATCTTTGATGTTCCTTGAAGGTCCATTTCGTTTTGTTTTGCTGCTATTCACATGTCTGATGACATTTGGTTCATATTTTTGCTATGATATGCCAAGGTAAGAAGCTCTATAATAATAGATATTATTTACAAGCAATATAGATTTTCCTTACATGTATCTGCCCCTAGTCTATTGTAAGTTGTTTTTTGAATCTGAAACTCACTTAATGTATTTTGAAAAGGGAAATAGTTCTTTTGAAAGGCAGACTGCTTAACCTACATGTAGATCCATTTGTAACAGGATAAGTGAAATAACCTGTTTTAGTGTCTAAATTAACTATAACGGATGGTTCAGTAAACCAACAGGATTAATGGATTATGAATTAGCTTTTACATCTGCCATCTTGCTTCTTACACAATGACACAGGTATCCTGGTATGCAGGGATCCCAATAGTTACATCCCTCCCTTTCAGATAAGTTCCCTTACAATTCTATAATCACTGTTTTGAATCAGAGTCTCAATCAAAGCCATTCTAAATATTGCAAATCTAAACAAAAAAATTCCTGTAAATGATGTGAAAAGTTCACCGATGACCTGAATGTTTCTAGTTATAGTTGCAAAGTCCTTCAGCTTCTCTGGGAGCCACCTTGCTCAATGAGTTCTAGCAGACATTTCTACTTGTTCACTTAGTGGGGTGGCTTAGCAATTTTTATGTGCACTTTGGCGTACAGGCACCAAACTTGGCATAGATGATCCTTGGGGCAATCTAAGCAATATCAGAAGGGGTGCCAAAAATCAGGACAAAGGGAGTTTTGTCACGAATGCTTAATATCCCTAATTTGTCACCCCTTACTTGGCAGTAACCGACATAAACAAATGATAAACAAGGAAAGATAAGGCATCTTATGGAGAAAGTTCTTTATTACAACTTTATGTGCATTTTAGCACATTAATGCAGCTCAACTATAATTGGAGGGCTAGAAAAGATGAAATGTGAGTTGCAAAACCAAGACATTGAGTAGGGTACTAAGGGGCAGTTCCACATGAGAAGGCAAAAAAAGCATTTTTTTTAAGTGTCCAATGAACCTGACAATTGTGCTAGATCTCAAACTTAATGATCAAACTCTAAAAGAATACTAAGACATTTGGGTTTACGTAGGTCTCAGGGGGAGACCACTGGGGGGTGCGAAGTTCCTTGATTTCTCAAATTATGAAATAATGGCTAAGTAAGGTAACTTTAGATATAAATTAGATATAGATAAAAAAAACAAAAGGTGAGACCAACTTACATTTAGCTTAATATTATGATTTAGTTTCAGAATATGTAGCTTTTTTCTGAAGTTATTTGTTTTGTAGGTGTATTTTTGTTGTTTAATTGTGTTTTTATGGACATTGCATAAAAATGTTACAGACATTACATCATTGTGCATGTTATGTCTGTAACACAAATAAATATCAAAAATTCAAGCTCTGCACAATCAATAACATTAATTAATTATCTTTTGTGCGACAGCTAAGCATAATATGTATTCTGGAGACATGCCCAATTCCATAACAAGGTGCAACAAATTGGAAAAGTTTGAAATATATCGTCAGTGTATTAGAAATGTTTACAACATGAGCGGCCGTGTTGTATGGGATTGTATGTTGTACGGGTTGTATCTCGAGCCAAAGGTGATAGATTGTAAAGCCCATACAACATGGACGCAAATGTTGTAAATTACTTGTGAAACGTTTAGGTGTATACATTCATAATCTACTAAAAACTTAAAGATAAAAATTTGGCTGAGAAAATTAGATATGAAGTTTATGCAAATCAAGACAGTTTTGTATCAAATATTACAATACTATCGAAATACTATCCACATTGTGATTTCTGTTGTGTTTTCCTCATTAATTATTCATGAGTTTTACAATTTTATAATTACAGTGTTATGTGACGTAACATTTAATATATATAGTAAATTAAGTGTTCACGTCATAATTGATAGTAATCAAATGCCAGCTAACCTAGCTTGAATGCTTGTGAAGAGTTTCTCAGTAACTTGAAGACAAGAAATGTGGAATGGGCCATTTCCTTGCAAATCAAATGGGCCTAAAAACATATAAAAATACACAGGAACTGTGGACTGACTAATTGTCATCTCTGATTGGCCAGTCAAACCTTTAAATCACAGAACTATGTACAAGAGAGTATTTCACTGCTGAATTTCAAGACCTTCAAGATGTGGATTACTAATTAACAAATAGTCCACTGCCCAGGAATAAAAGGAGTAACAGGTCATAATGTAGTTGGAGTTTAAAAATACGCACGAACTGCTATTTATTACGATCGAAACACCTTAATTGTGCCAAGGCAAGGGCTTGTGCATACGACTTCAATCTCCTTCATTGTCATTGCCTTGGGGATTGTGCTTACTGCCACAAAACTCTTCAGTTCCATGATGTTCTCAGGTTCTCTCACTCTACCACAGCTTTAACTCGTTCTGCCATTGGTCCTATTCCTTTCTCGGACATCAGGATTCCCATGAAAACAATCTGACTCATATTGTATTCACTTTGTTGGGTTTAGCGTCAACCCACTGGATTGAAGTACAGCCATCTCGCCCCACCATCTCACCCCAATATTATATGTTAGTTCACATATCGAATGTCAGATGTTATTTATGTAATTCTAGCACCATATGTGATTTATTACATATCAGGAACAAATATTGAATATGCTTGCTTGTTTTAATATTTRAGCGGCAACTGCTGTTGTCGTTCGATCGACGTTTTTTTATCKTWATATATGCAGACTATCTGAAATATTTTTATTTATTCAGTAAAAAAACAAGCTCTCCAGATTTGCCTTTCATTAGAAATTTATTGAAATTTTTACGTTGTGTCCAGCAAATCATGCCAAATTAATAAATGATCCTAGTTGATGCGATTTCCATTTCGAATGACCTATGTAAAAGATGTGCTTTGACATTGTCACTTTACAGTAACTGGCAGTTGATTAAACAATTGTCATAACAACCAACAATAAAGACATATCGGTGTATAAACAAAGACTTTTTACTGTTTATGTTTTCCCAATTTCTCACCCTAAGCATATTACTCTTAATGCCATTCCTTTCTCTCAATTTCTACATCTCTGTCGCTTGTGCAGCGACAATAATGACTTTTCTAACAAATGCGCTCCTTTTTTCTTAATCGTAACTATCCTTCACATGTCATTTATCAAGCTCTGTGTAAAGTCTCTCGCATTGACGCGTAATGCTGCTCTCACAACTAAGGTTCGTGCGCCTAATGACCGTATTCATTTCACTCTTATGTATCATCCTATTAACAGTTCTATTAATTACTTCTTACTCACTTCTGAAACTAACACTTCTCACATCTTTTAACGACCAACCCCTTTTTCTAATAAATGTGACCGTAACCTTCGTTCTTTCCTAGTCAAAAGTGTTTTTCATTCTAATAAAATGATCCTGGCACTTTTCGTTGCTCACATAAAATTTGTAACACTTGTCCGTACATTGTCTCGCACACTTCCATTGTTGGTCCTAACTCGTCACTCAGAATCACTGATCACTTTGAATGTACCACCTCTAATGTTGTCTATTGCTCATTAAATGTTTGCTTTGTAATTTGTTGTACGTCGGCTAGACTGGCCGTCGTCTAGGCGATCTTATCCATGAACATCTTTTATAGTATTCGTCATAATTATCGTAATAAGGCTGTTTCCCGCCCCTGAGGGGTTACACGGCACTGTTTTGGATATTAGGTACGAGCCACCAGTGGTCTAAAACCCTGACCCTGTTTAAGACACTAGAAAGTGAAAATCCATACCCTGTTCAAGACAAATCGCCACAACCATCAAAACTGCAATTATACTGACATCCTTCAAAGATAATAAGAAGTTTTACTACCCTTTAGATACTGTTGTTCATGATATTGAAGTTTGTAAAAGAGTGATGTCTGTTTATAGGCTTTGAAATAAGGTTGCATGCATGTTTTGAGGTACCTTTAATACAATGTACAAGGGTGTCAATAATATTAAGGTCTGTAACAGAGAGATGTCCAAATTGGTTTCCATAATTTCATAGTGTTCATAATATATTCATAATATATGAGTGTCAGGCTTCCAGTATGAAATTACACTGAAATTAGTTAAGTGTCTGTAATGTAAGGTGTCTGGAGTAAAAGGTTTAGTGGCGGCGATAATAGTGTCGTTTTTCTTGAAGCCAATGGTTATTTAACAAATAGATCTCATTTTTCCGTGCGTGTGTACTCTAATAGATACACAGATGACGTCAAAATGTAGTGAGAACAAAAAAGTGACTATTGTTCTCACTACATTTTGACGTCATCTGTGTATCTATTAGAGTACACACGCACGGAAAAATGAGATCTATCTGTTTTATACAACAAACAATTAGTTTTGACGTAATCCGTGTATCTTATACTTTGATAACACAGGAAAGCCAACCAATCAAAACGTCTGATTTTACTGAAAAGTTGTATAAAATTATTTACAATTATTACATTTGAGGGCAGTTATTGCATTTGAGGCTAAATGTGACCAGTGATTACATTTGAGGACAGTAAAATTACATTATTTTGTGGCCTCTACAAATGGTACCAGGAGGGCTAACATCAGACTTCACTGTGAGCAATTCATGATAACACGTGCTATATTCTGTTAAATACATTATACTATATAACAATTCTTTTATTTTCCAGTGTTTTGCAAAAAGTGTTTACTAATGTGAGTTAAGTTCCTATTCAATTTATTAATACCTTGTTACGTTTATGACTATTTGCAAATTTTGCTTCATATTTTGAAAGAAAATATGCTCAAAGTTGGCTTCTTGTGATTGCCTGTTTGCTGACCTGTATACAAGTCAGGTCTTAGGGACAGCACCCTTCACATTGATCTGAATTCTTAAAAAGGAGTCAGGAATCATTTTGTGCTTATTATTGTTTTATCGTTTAATATATTTTATATTTTTGTTTGTTTTCTCATAACCTTTTCATAAAACTATGTTTTAAGGSAATAAATCCAAATACAACTGGAAACTGTAGCACAATTTATTACTGGAATGCTACCAAAGTTACATCATCACTTATCAATGGCACGAAATGCTATTCTGGTCTTGGTTTAACCCAAACACAGTTCAATTTGTTGTATTCAATCTATGCATGGACGTAAGTATTGTAATTAGTAATATCTTTTGGTTTAAGCTGTAAGGGATAAATTTCAGTTTGTATATGATATTGTTTTCCTCTAATACCAGTGATCTCGTCCCCATCTATTATCTTTGTTGAAGTTTTATATCCACCATGCCCAGTACGTTCGTAGTGAAAAAGACAAACTATCGCTCGAATCATCACCTCGAATCATAAACAGACTACGCTTACTACCAGTGCCCTCTGTTTGCTGCAAATACATTCAAGACTCACTACTCACTCACTACTCGTTCGTAATAAAAATGAAATTTCACTGAAATTTGTAAAAGGTAACGATAGTTTAATTGTGAACTGTGTTTAAGCATAGCAACATAACATTATGACTGCATAATATAATATCAATGACTAAGTGGGGATGAAATCCTGCGGCGAGATCACTTGGGGGCAATCACCACATGCCATTTTAGGGAGTTATCATTATTTACTGGAGGAATACTCCTTTTATTAAAAGTTCTTTTTATTGTGCAAAACAATCATTTATGATAAGTGTTGTGATACTTTGTTTGGTGTAATATCGTATGCTAATACTGAATCAATTTTAACCATTTTTAACTCGGAGATTGCGTAGCAATAGTAGAGTTATTGGGAGGGGACGGTTGTCACTCGCTCGATCACTTTCCTGTAAACTCGAGCGATGTCTTTGTCAGCAGTTATTCATTTAATGATATTAATGTATTCTACTTAATTATTATTTATCATATCTAATTTTTCTTTACTGGTTTCCCTGTGCTATATCTGATTGAATTGATTTATTTTTTGGCAAATAAAGAAATCAAAGAAATGGGTCACCTGGGATCTGAACGGACCCGGGACCTCTGGATTGGAAATCAAAGGCACTACTAATGCTAATGTGCTAATGTTACATGACATCGGGTAGACTTGTCTTTTAACTGATGGGCGCTTGACAGTGCTTGTCTAGAATTCGAAGTTAAAACTATAAGATTTTAACGGAAAAATCTGCATTCAAATGTCGTTTACATAAAATTCTATTTGTAAAGTAAATCTAATTTGATTCGTTGTATTGTTCAGTCACAAAGGAAGATGAGGAAGACTCGCCGATCCGACATTAAATTCGTCTCGAAAAACATTTTACGTGTGTTTTATTTATCCACGTYCGTCTACAATTCAAAAAATATATTCGCTCGCTACCGTACTATTACATTGTAATATTTGATACATAGTTCATTGTGTGGTTAGACATCGATAATACTATTTTGAGCCGCTACGGAAACTGGCAAACAATAAAAGGAACGGTGCGTATAGTTGGTCGGGGATTCAATTGAACCAACTTTCAGTTGTTTAATTCACCGTTACGGAGTAAGCATTCTTAAAAGAATTGCTGGAAAAAAATAATAAATAATAATAATAAATAATAATAAAGAACAAAAAAAAGAAAAAAAAACATACGATATCATTTCGGATTCGAACTGTGACCTCTTGATCAGTAAGCGACATAGTTAAGAATGCTCCCATTTTACTTTACTATACTCATAAGTTTTCCTTTTCCCAGCATGTTGTTGCTGTTCTGCCAGATCTTCTTGTACAAAACASTGTGCTCGTGCTCTCTTAAATTTCCTGCACTAAGTCTTTTTGATAAGAGTTTTAAAGATAAACACAAGAAGCCTTATTCTTATTTATTTATCTCCAGTCCAAARTTTGTGACCCTCCCCTAAAGCTCATTTGAAAAAATTCAACCCTCCCCAAACACACATCCAAAAAAAGTGGCCCTCCCCACATATTTAGTCCCCCCCCCCCAATAAAAAATGATGACTCCCTTATTATATAGAAATGCAGTGGTAGTTATCATGGCTGGGTTCCTGATTGATAAACTTGGAAATGGAGGTAATTTAAGTTGTGTCTTTATATTGTATGATAATTATTTGCAATTTACATAGAAAAGGCTGTATAGGGTTTTATAAACTCAAGTGGAAATAAAGGAATATTTGATGTGTAATTGTACTTTGCAAAACAAAAAGGAAACTGTACTTTGCAAAACTGTAGTTTTCGAAATCTGTACTTTGCGAAACTGTACTTTGCAAAATGAATTGTAAATTAAGCTTATAAAGACTTCTACTCTCTTTGATAAGCCCTCACATTTACTTTATTTATATATCCTAGCGTTATGTCTTACTTAACAAAGTAGTTTTTACAAGTTAGTTGTTTCATTGTGTTTCACAAACTAGAATAATACGCCRATCTGTTGTTAATGAATTAATATAGATACTAACATTTTAATTTACTAAAGATAATCACTATATAATGATTTTATCTTATTTCAGTTGGGGCACTTTTATTTTCTCTTTTGTGTCTAATTGGAACTTCTACATTTGCTGCTGGACTATACTTTCAACATAGCCATGGCAAAGCCATGTTTGCTATCATGTTAGTTGGAAGAATATTGTTTGGGTAGGTGTAAAGCCATAAGGTAACTGTAAAAATTCACTACAGTTTGCAAATCACCAAGTTAAAAAAAAATTTTGGATAAAGATTTTTATAGTTCAAATATCAACATTACATATTGTCAAAATTTGCACCTTCAAATTCAAATGAAATTATCTCCACAACAAAAAAGAAGACATGAAATTGAGTTTGTATTGATAGACACCACTTACAAATTACGATGAAAAAATGTATATTTTATTATATTTTATTATCCAGTGTATTCACACATTGTTTTTAATTCCAATGCAATCAATTAAATCTTTTAATGTTTTATCTAAAAGATACCTGGCTGATAGCTTTTGATGCTTAGCATGACTCGGTCATTGATTTTGTTGTAAAAGTAATAACCAGCAATTTATTTGTTTCTCCAGGTCAGGTAATGGTTCACTGACTAGTAAGTTTGCATTCTTAAATAGATACAGACTAACATAATTATTAATAGACTACATAATTATTAATATGCATGATCATGTAATCATTATAATTACTTAAATATGGTGTTTTCAAGTGCTAAAGAAAAATGTCAGTAGTCAATATTTTTTTTGTTGYAGCTTATATTATATTAATATATTTTTTTGCATTGAGATCTAAGAAATGTGTATAATCTAAGAATTTTTCTCTTCCTACAGTTGTGCAAAATAGAATCTCTGCAATTTGGTTTAAGCAAAAAGAACTAGCCTTTGCCTTTGGGTGCACACTGGCCTTCTCTCGCCTTGTGAGTGTTGATTGACCCCAAAATTTATTGAATTTGTAGATCTAATGTTATTAATAAATCAGGAAATGTACAGTCATGTTGTCTAGAATACAAAGTTAGAACACAAACCTGAGATCTGAAAGTTTCAGTAATGCTTAGCGATGCAAGCACCTCCTAGCTCCGATCATTTTCAGAAAATTGTCTATAAAATTAATTCATATAGCAATAAACATTTTGTAATCTTTTATTTATTTTTTTTATTTTTTATTTTTTGGTATCCTTGGCATCAATTTCATGCATAGTCTCTTTCCAGACGGAAAAGCTCTAAATATAACAGTTGAATTGGATAGATGCAGGGAAAAAAAACTGATGATATTTTGTAACAAAATGTCAGGCAGTCGATTTTTTTGGTGAAAAATCGTCGGAACAACTTTAATTTCAATTATTACAACAAGAGAAATGCAATAAAGACCAAAATAATACTGTTCGGCAAGTTTTTATACACAAGAACAGCACTTTGAGATTTTTTGACTGCCTGACGTTTAGTCCCAGGACTAAATGTCAGGCAGTCAATTTAAAAAAAAAATCGTTAGAACAACCGTAATTTCAATTAATACACCAAAGGAAATGCAAGACCGAAATAAGGACTTGTCAGAAATTAGTAGGGGAAGCGGAGGTTGAAAATGAAAAGTGGGTACTGGGAATAAGGTGACATACCAGAGTAGTGGAAGTGAAATTTTCTAACCCTMCCTATATCAGACGGGCAAAATATTGTACCGCCCCCCTTCCCATTCATCCATTACCACGACTACAATTTATCAGAATACCCCCAAGCATCCAGTGAATGATGGTGCAGGGCCTATAATTGGGATAAAGGATTAGGATATTTGATAGGCAGTAGTAATAATAATAATTATTTCATACTTGATTAAGTTKTCTTTGTTATTCATAGTGTTGTATCTCGCTTATTCCCCAGCTCGTTGTGTATTCAAGTGCTTTATATCGAAKTTTCAGGGATATATCTAGTAATACCATGATCACCTCGGATTCTTTTGTCTTCCGAGGGATGTTTACAAGCGAACATCCCTCCCTCATGAATAGCATGAGGGACGATTACTAGTAATCGTCCCTCATGCATAATAACATGAGGGACGATTACCAGTAATCGTCCCTATGCATAATAACATGAGGGACGATTAGACTAATCGTCCCTCATGTTATTCATGAGGAACGGAAGGCAAAGGAAACCTTTGCTTCCCAGCAGAGACAACTGAATGTCCCTACAGCTGTCTTCTTTTTAACTCTGCAATGAACGGTCTGGTTATCGTCTCATTCACACTGAAATGTGGGATGATTTTTGGGACAAATTGACCGAGTAGCTCTGGTTCCGAGTATCTACTTCGTACCGCTGAGCATGTGCACTTGACGAATTTCAATGTTTGATAATAGTTGATAAGCTTCTTGGCATTATACTTGCAAATATAAAAACAACTTTTCGCGGTTGAAGTTAAGGTTCGTTAACTTCAGCATTGAATAGAACTGAAAAGCAATTTCAAACAAATTTCGTTGTGGGAAATCAGTAACAATGGTCGGATTATCAATATCATTTTGTACTGTTGTTCGGCGAGTGATACTCTTAGAACAGTCCGTATCCTTTCTTTTCATGTCATATTCCAATTCATGCATGAATTGTTTGTTGCAATGTTTATATTACTTCTGATTGAAAACATTGGAGCATACAAAAAAACGAATTCAAATTCGCTCAAGTTCAACTTCATTTTTTTCCTCGGAAATCATGGTATTACAAAGTAATAGCATGGCTTCCTCGGGAGATTAGGGACTTCAACTTATCTGCCCTCGGCTTCGGGGACATTTAATCCCTAATCTCCCTCAGAGCCATGCTATTACTTATAAATATCGCCCCCATTTGAGGGAAATRTCTATATATTGCCCTTGAATACTATAATGTATATTTCCCTTGAATACC